CCCTCCAAGCATGGAGCCCAATATGGGGCTTGATCCTATGACCCTGAGATCGTGACCTGAGCCGAAATCAAGAGTCTGACACTTAACCAACTGAGCCACCCACGCACCCCAATAGTCAAGATTCTATTTTCTTTTTTTCAAGATTCTATTTTCTAGTAAGATCACATTTACAGGTATGAGGGTTAAAACTTGGACTATCTTTTTGGGAAATACAGTTTATCCCACTATAATTGGAATGCTTTCTTTCTTTCTTTTTTTTTTTTTTTAAGTTTGTGAACTTGAGCAGCTTTATGTAAAGGATCCTCCTAAATGTAAACTTCTTCTTCTGATCTTTGTCAATAACAATCCTTACTTTGGTCAGCTTTTCAGAGCATGCAAAACATCTGGTATCTTAATGAATTATTTTAACTGCCCTGGGGTTCTGCAAGGTAAGCCTTTTTATGGATTAGAAAACAGGTATAAAAGGGGAAGTGACTTGACACCCAATTCTGGTTGAGTTAGGATCTGAACCCAGGATGTCAAGGCTCTTTCCTCCAACTGCCTGCTGCTGCATGGAAGCTTTGGGAGCTGTAATCAGTTTGTGCAGTTTCATTTGTGATTTACCTTTGCCCTTAATTTTATTTAATGTGCACTTTTCCCTTGTCCTTTTTTTTTTTTTAAAGATTTATTTATTTATTCATGAAAGACAGAGAGAGAGAGAGAGAGAGAGAGAGGCAGAGACATAGGCAGAGGGGGAAGCAGGCTTCCCACAGGGAGCCCAATGTGGGACTTGATCCAGAATCCCAGGATCACACCCTGAGCCAAAGGCAGACGCCCAACCGCTGAGCCACCCAGGTGTCCCTTCCGTTGTCCTATAGAAAAACTTTTTCCCCAGCTTTATTTTCCTTGTAATTTTGATTGATTATATAGTCTATATACTTGTCATGTTAATTAATTAAAAAAATAAACTTTCTTAGTTTATTTTTATATTTAAAAAAAGATTTTATTTATTTGAAAGAGAGGCGAGACAGCCAGAGAGATCACAGAGGAAGAGGGAGAGGAAAAGGGAGAAGCAGACTTGCCACTGAGCAGGGAGCCTGTTGCAGGGCTTAATCCTAGGACCCTGGACCATGACCTGAGCCTAAGGCAGGCCCTTAACCCACTGAGCCACCCAGGTGCTCTGGTTTTGTTTTTGTTTTGTTTTGTTCTATATTTTATTTTTAAGTGCTCTCTATACCTACTGTGGAGCTCAAACTTACAACCCTGAGATCAAGAGTTGCATGGCTCTAACAATTGAGCCAGCCGATGATTTATTCATTCATTCAATCACTATTTACTGAAGCCTTACAGTGTCAGAAGCCCAAGGCTGAACTAATTAAGGTGGGCCACAGAGATGAACCAGACCACCTTGGTCTTTGTCCTTGAGGAGAGTAAACAGACAGTGAACATATGGTGTGAACAGTCTGTGGGAACCCAGTAGGCTTCTAACCTAACCAGGGGTCAGGAGAAGCTTCCTGATGTCTGAATTGGGTCTTAAAAGATAGATAGGAAGCAATCTTATTCCTCTAATACTGGTTGTTAGAATAGAATTTTAGGATGGTCATCTGATACCCATCTATTGAATGTTATTATGTTCTTCATTTTCTAGCACTCTGTCGAGGTGCATAACAGGTTTATATAACAGCCTTCATTACAAACGGCAGTAACTTCCATTTGCCCAGTGTTTGATAATTTACACATTTTCACACTCTCTCACTTGCTGTCACAAAACTTTTTTAAAATCTTCAATCCTAGTATAATTAACATACAATGTTATATTGATTTCAGGTGTACAATATGGTCATTCAATGATTGTGTATTACTCAATGCTCATCACAGTAAATGTACTCTTAATTCCCTTCACCTACTTCACCCATCCCCTACCCACTTCCCCTCTGGTGACCATCAGTTTGTTCTCTATAGTTAAGAGTCTGTTTTTTTGTTTGTTTCTTAAATTCCACATATCAGTGGAATCATACAGTATTTCTTTTTCTTTTTTTTTAGTATTTCTTTTTCTGACTTATTTCACTTAGCATAATACTTTCTAGATCCATCCATGTTCTTGTAAATGGCAAGATTTCATTCTTTTATGGCTAATATTCCATTGTGTATATATGCCACATTTTTTCTTCTCTTTCTTTCTTTTTCTTTCTCTTTCTTTCTTTCTTTCTTTCTTTCTTTCTTTCTTTCTTTCTTTCTTTCTTTCTTTCTTTCTTTCTTTCTTTCTTTTCTTTCTTTCTCCTAAGATTTTATTTCTTTTTAAAGATTTTATTTATTTATTCATGAGAGACAGAGGCAGAGACATAGGCAGAGGGAGAAGCAGGCTCCATGCAGGGAGCCTGATGTGGGACTCAATCCCAGACTCCAGGATCACACCCTGAGCCCCCCAGGCATCCCGATACCGCATTTTCTTTATCCATTCATCTATCAATGGACACTTGGGCTGCTTCCATATTTTGGTTATTGTAGATAATGCTGCAATAAACATAAGGGTGCATCTATCATTTTGAATTGGTGTTTTTGTTTTCTTTGGCTAAATACTCAGTAGTGGAATTACTGGATCATATGGTAATTCTATTTTTAATTTACAAAAAGCTCTTTGAGAATGCTTTGTTTATATTTATGTATTTCTCTTGTTTATCTTAGCTAAGCTCAAATATTGTAATTTAATTTTTCATTGAGATGATTGCAAAAGTTTAAAAATTAAATTGCATAACTTTGTAACTTATAAACATTCAAATTGCACTGGGTGTTAAATCAGTGCTTGGTTTCTGATCCTAATCTGGTTTATCTTCCTCAATCTGGGTCTCATTTTTCTCTACTCCAAAGTGGGCATGTGGAGGAAATTTAGGTTGAATGACTAATTGAGATAATGGATCTTAGTTAGATACCAGCACATCACCTGGCTCATTAAAGACTGGTTCTCCTAACATTATCTCTAATGTCCATTTTCCTGCAATTCTAAAGCAATTTTTTAAAAAAGATTTATTTATTTGAGAGAGAAAGAGCAAGCAAGCGGGGAGAGGCGCAGAAGGAGAGGGAGAGAGAATTTTGTAGCGGCCACCCCACAAAGCACAGAACCCAAACCAACATCAGGCTTGATCCCAGGCTCCTGAGATCATGACCTGAGCTGAAACGGAGTCAGTGGCTTAACCAGCTGAGTCACTCAGGTGCCCCTAAAGCAATTCTTTTTTTTCTTTTAAAGCAATTCTTAAAGTAATAGTCCAGCTCACATATATGGGCCAATGCTCTTAAAGAGATGCTTTGAGAGAAAAAGAGAGCTCAAACAAACTCATTAATATAGTTGATACAAAACCATTCACAGTCTCAGTGAATCAGATAATAACAGGCAAAGGATAGTGTTTTGACACTGTCATTTTTTCCCTGAGATTGTTTGGGGTGGGTTGCAGAGAAAAAAAAAATTAGATGTGGTAGGAATAATCAACACAAAATAAAACCGACAATGGCTACAACTACATGTGGTAAAAATTTATTATGGATGGAAAAGCAAACTGAATGATCCCGTCTTTGTTGGTAACATTAAACATTGCAAAGTTGACCCCTGGGAAAATTCCACTTGGTGGAGATAATCAACACAAAATAAAAATGACAATGGCTCAAATCTCTTCCAGGAAAAGGTGGAATTGGTGGAAATCATGACTAGAAACTTCAAAATAGCTGAAGCAATCATCAGTAAAAATTGATAAAGATAAAAGATAACTGATGAATCTAACCTGTCTTGTAAAATTGATAGAGAAAAGAAGGTATCTTGATGAAAATTCAGTAAGAAAAAAATCTTAAAAAGTTAGAAATTGTTTCACTGTGCTATATAGAAAATTTATCAAGGAATAAAACTGACTTAATAGGATTGATTCCTGAAATACTTTATTATGTTCATTAATAATGGCATAATATTAAGTAAATAGTTTATATGCCAACACTTGGAAGGGATTTTGAAAGAGAATTCTCAAGTTAGATGAGGGTTTGGACCATAAATTCCACTTTACGTCTTCAAAGCACTTTCATACTCATTGCTTTATTGCATTCTCCTAATCTTTTTGAGGTGACAGGGCAGGAATCCTTCTTTCCATTTTACAGATGTAAACACGGAGATTCAGAAAAGTTGAGACACCTACTAAAGGTCACCCAGCATGTTCATGGCAAGGTCTGACTTTGGATCTGATTCCCAGATTCCTAGTCTGGAAAACTTCATACCTATGCCCCTAATTCTGATTAATGCTTTACTTGACTGCCAGGTCAGACCCCTTCTAATTCTGACCTTCACCTAGCCCCCACTTTCTGCTAGTAGGAGAAGTGGGGAAAAAGGAGGAGAGGGAATAAAAGAGGGTTAGAAGAGGGCATGGCCAATGTAACACTTAGAGAGGGGAAGGGACTTGGCTGTCACATAGCCAATATGTTACAGACATGTTTCTTATTCTTCTCAGAAAAGGGAGCAGAGGGGCTAGAGGAGGTTTGGCAGGGGATAGGGATTGGGATTTTAAGGCTGCTCTAATAGGTTGAAAAACAAGACAGGCAGTTTGAAAATGACAGTGCCTGATATACTTTGGGAAAGTGAGTCATAAGAATAAGAGTGTAACTAGAGTAGGAAGAGTGAAGGTGAAGAGACTGGCTGCAGCAGGGCTGTGGACCATATTCACCTCTGCTATAGGGAAACTGGCCTTTCTCAGGTAGGCCTGAGGTTCGCCAGGGAGCTAACTAGTGGAGCTTGACGGTTCTGGTGTTCAGAACACCAAGGAATAATGACATATAAAATCTAAAATACTATAATTGAATACAGGACTTATGCTACAACAGAGATCATCTGATGCCATATTCCATATGCTAGGAGAGCTAGACACAGAAGGAGGAAAACTTTTAAGTATAAGACTTACTTATTCTATAGACAATATTTTGTTTAAATAGAGCTTTGTGGACTCTTTACAATAACTCTGTTCTTCCCTTCTCATTCCTTGTCTCCACAGGGATCTCTGGCCCACAGATTAAAAACCAGTACTATAAGAATTCAGATACAAGGAAGATCAATGTGCCTAAAATATGTTCTAGGGAAGGTAGGGCTTTGGCTTGAGTTTCAAGAATGAGAAGAAAAGGAGGAAATGGCCGTGGAAAGACCAGAAAGGAAAAATTTGAAAATATATGAAGAAAATAGAGAACTTTCTTTCTACTGAATTAATGGTCTTTTATGAATTTTAAGTTACCATCATTATTTGTTTTAACAGTGGAACTGTTGAGCTCATAGAAAAACCAGACAGGCCTCATCCTGGAGTACCACTGAGGGCAGTAGGAAGCTGCGGTAAGCTTTTAGTCAGCAAAGTATGGTTGTTGGATTTGGATATTACTTTTTTTTTTTTTTTAAGATTTTATTTATTTATTCATGAGAGACAGAGAGAGAGAGAGAGAGAGAGAGAGAGAGAGAGAGGCAGAGACACAGGCAGAGGGAGAAGCAGGCTCCACACAGGGAGCTCAATGTGGGACTCCATCCCTGGACTCCAGGATCATGCCCTGGGCCGAAGGCGGCCCTAAACCGCTGAGCCACCTGGGCTGCCCGGAAATTATATTTTTTTGAAAAAGTCTTATAATTTAAAAAAAACTATGTGCTCTCGTTAAACAATTCAGGCAATAAGAAAATAAAAATTATTTGGTATCTGACACCCTTTCTTCCAAGATAATCACTAATAATATTTTGGGGAACCTCTTTCCTGAAATCTGTGCTTATAGAATATCGTTTCAAATATCACAAATTGTACCATTATAAACATGCTGTTCTGTAACCAATTTGTTTCCCTCGAGAATAAGTTATGAATAGCTTTTCATATCAATAAATAGATCTATATCATTTTAATAGCTGCTTACTACTTTGTTGTTTGTATTACAATTTAACTAGCTCTTTTTGATGAACATTTACATTACCCCTGTAATCCACAACCTCAGATAACCAGCTTGTGCATTCAACTTTTCAAAAAAACTTTTTTTTTTTAACATTTTATTTACTTATTCATGAGGGACACATTGAGAGGCAGAGACAGGAGAAGCAGGCTCCATGCAAAGAGCCCAATATTGGACTTGATCCCGGGATCAAGCCCTGAGCCGAAGGCAGACGCTCAACCGCTGAGCCACCCAGGGATTCCTCTTCCAAAATGTTTCATTCTCTTTTTAAGGTAAAGAATTGAAAGTAATGGAGCTGGGTCAAAAAGGATCTTTTGACATTTGGATTTCAGTTGCCAAAACGTCCTCTGATTTGCAGGGAGACCAGGAGGAAGCTCGTGCATCAGCTCTGGTGCGATAGTGGCAACGGTGATGGCGAAGAGAATCCAGACTCGGGAGATCTATCCCCCCTAGGCCTATCCTTAGTGGACTGGCATATTCCTACCCTTTTTCCTCTCTTTCACTTCTTTTTCTTAACATGGAGGATGAACCAAGAACTGCATCTCCCAGCATTTCACAGGCACCACACCCCCTGGGAACTGTAGTACCGCGTCTGAGAAGGGTCCGGAAGGAGGGCGGGAGACTGTGGGGCATGCTGGGAAATGTGGTCCAGCTGCGGGGGGGCGGCGGCGGTCGCGGTGTGCGTGTAAAGAGGCTGGAGACGCCGCAAACATCGCTACTTGGAGAAGAGGGCACGGGGCGACCTCACCTTCCTCTCAAGCGGTCTTTGAGTCGATAAAAGCGGACGGCGGATGGTGGACTTCGCTACATCGTCCGTAACCGGGGAGCGTTTGGCCCCTCCACAGAAGGCGCGAGGCTGGCAGCGTAGGCCGCGCAGGCCACGCGCGGGCCGGAGCAAGGCAGGCCGGGAGTTGTGGTCCCGGCGCGCTGAGGCTGTGGGACGTGTCGCGGCGCCGCGCAGGCTCCTCCTTCCCCGCCCTTCTTAGCGGTCCCCCGCCCCCTCCCTCCGCCTCCTCCTCCCTCGCCCGCAGCCGAACGTCCCCTCCCCCCACCCGTCGGGCTCTCGGTCGGCTACTGCAGAGGATTCAGAGCCGAGTCTGAGGAGGAGGCTCCGGTTCCCTGCGCGCCATCCGCCACCTTACTGGACACGGGCGAGGGAGCGAGAGCGTCGCCGCTGTAGCCTCCAGAGAAGACAAGGGCATCGCCGCCTCCGCCGTCGTTTTCGCCTGCAGCGGCTAGCCGGTGAGACCTCCCCCCACCCCCCCACCCCCGCCACCTCCCCTGGTCCGCTCTCCCGGAGCCTGGGCCGGTGATACTTACGGAGAATGAGAGTGGGGGCTGTGGAGACCCCGCGTGGGTTGGGGGAAGGGGGTTGAGGTCGCGGTGGAACGGCGGGTTGGCCGGGGAGACTTGTCCTGGCGCGGGGCTGGGGGTGGGGTGAGGGTGGGACCCAAGCAGGTTGCAGGGTGGGTGGGTGGGGGGGCGCCAAGGGAAGGGGACTTGTAATAGCGATTGACCCGATATGGGACAGGAGTGTGAGGTTGGGAGGTCGGGGTGGAATTTGGGGTGGTTTTGGGCGAGATGGATGATGAGAGTGGAGTGGGATGGCTTTTAATGGGGGAGGGGACTGAAAGAGGGTGATGGATTTGGGGTTGGCTTGGAGCAGTTGACAGCTTGGGATCCAGCCAGGGGTGCAGGGTAGGGGGATGATTTCAATAGACAGTGGGATTGCAGGGTTGGATAGGACCCTGGGGGAGGGGTGTTAATTCTCGAGGGTGGAATTTGGGGTGGACCTAAGGGCTTGGCATGGGTTGAGACCTTAGCTGGAAGTGGGCACTTGCCATTTCTGGGTGGTGGAATTTGTGGAGACTTATGGAATAGCGTAGGTTAGGAGAGTAAAGGAGGTAGAATTTGGGGTTTTTCTGGGGAGTGCTTATGGGAATTGGAATAGGAACTGGTTGGGGTGGGACTTTTCAATGAGAGGAGTGTGATGTTTGAGCTGGCACGAGAGGGGGGATAAATTAGAAGTTAGGCCCAAAATGGGCAGCAGAGATTGGAATTAGAGGGGGGCACAAGGGATGGGATTTAGGGTGATTTTGGAACCACCGGAAAGGCATGGTGGCTCCCTGGGTGCAGCGTCGAGGCAGAGGCTCAGAAGATGCTGCTGGGCTAGACTCACTGAAAGAATAGTGGCAGGTGGTGAACAAGGTAGGGAGATGGCATCTTGAAGAAAATGTCCCTTGGCCAAGGTGGCAGAGGAATTTTTGGAGAAGCAGTGTCTTAGATGAACTGGTAGGACTGGAGAGGTGGTTGCTGATGGTAAGGTGGCAAAGAGGCTTTTTAAGGAATGAGAGACCTGGAGTTGTAGGTATGGACGGGGCAGGGAGGATGGAATGGGGCAGTGAGCAAGGCTGGGAAGAAGTGGGTTGGATGATGTTAGGAAAGATTCTGATGTCCTCCAAGAGACATAAGAGGGTAAGGGGTTGGACTTAAATGGACAGCTCTGGAGGTGTGGTTGGGGGAGGGACAATAATCAGAAGGAACTTTGCAGGGGACAGAGAAGGTACATTAAAGATTCTCTTTCCTAGACGACATCTTAAGCTGTTAGTTCAGTCTTTTTAGTTTCATTTATATTAGTATCGTGTTTTGGAAGTAAATCAACCTGAAGGGTAAAGTTAAGAGGGGCTTCAGTTAAAGTAGAATTAATCAGGGGGAGGGTGTTTTCTATTCATTTATCATAAAAAGAAAGTTTTGGGGAAAAAAATCTCTTGGACTAAAGGTGGAGAAGATAAAACTGGAATGTGATATATATCTTTCTATATGATGTCTCTGCCTTCTCCTTTCCGCCCTCCCCTTGGTGCATTTAAAAATTAGTCCTGGAATTTGGAATTAAATAGATTTGATGAGCTTGAGGTATTTAAGGGAGCATTCCTTGCTTGAGAACCCATGAATGAACCTGAAAAATATGAGGCTGAATTTATTTCCTAGTCAGGCAACGTGCATGTATGTAGAAAGAGGTTAGGCCTTTTTTTTTTTTCTCCTCTTAAAATTGATTGTCTGAAGACTCCATTTATTGGTGTCCTGGTTTGCAAGGCAATTAGGCCCATCATTGTATTGCAGGCTAATAATCCTGAGATGAATCTTGGCACCACCGCTTTATGTAAACAGAGAGAAGACAGGAAATATGGAAATGTCATAAATATTCATTGGTGAAATGGTTTGGTATTGATGGAGTTTTTCATTTGATTCTCTTTTGGCATTACTTGATAAGATTTAAAATAATTGGACTATATTTCTATAGATTGAATTTTCTTCTGAAGGAATTCAAGTGGTCAGAATTCTGTCAGATATGGATAAATAAAGCATATAGAATCATTTTTATTTTATTTTTTAAGGGTTGGTGTTGATGTAGGCACATTACATTTAACTGCAGCAACAATGTCTCCATCTATTCATCGCAATTTTATTTAAAGCTTCAATGATATGCTCATTTTTATGGCAGAATGGTGATGGTGGAAGGTAGAGAGGGGTATAACTGAGGGAAACAGCTTTAGGGAAACAATTTTCTGCACTTAATTGCATTAACTATGATATGTTAAACATGAAGTGGCTGTTGATTAGAGCTCAGACTGAGAAAACATGGGGAGGGATGTAAAGCGGATAAAATTGGCATCAACAGGATCAAATGATTCTGTTTTTGTTCAAGCTCAGAGTTCAGCTCATAAACAAACCATTTTCTTTGGCTTTGACAGTTGAGCACATAAAAATGTTTAGCTCAATATTTAGGATTTTTTTTTTTTTTGTAGTTCCAAAATGGACAGAATAATGGCAGATTGGCCTTATCCTTCAAAGTGTTTTGTTATAAGGAAGCTCTATTAAGATAAAAACCAGGTTTGAGTAGTTAGTTATCTGTAATTCGATGAGCATAATTTAACTAATGCAAGCATTTCTCCTCATAACTTTACTCTGGGGTCCAGACATTGCTTTTGTAGATCTGCATGCTTGAGCTACAGGTGAGATATTTATATTAAAACTGTAGCTTTTGAAAGCAAGCCTGAGAGAAATGTCTTGGTGGATATTTTCCCTCCTCACAGCTGTGGGCACTTGTACAGTGGAAATGTATATAAAGTGTTTGATTCTTCTGATATTCTGGTAAGAAGGAAGGAGCAGATGGAGGTACTGGTAGACAGACCCCTTGGTAGAATGAATGGCTGTGAATTTATGGGTGAAGAGTCCTGAGTTCAAATCCCCCATTCCACCCCTTGATAGCTGAGTGATTTCAATAGTCATTACAACCTTTCATATTTAGGGTTAATGGTTGCACAACATTGTGAATGTACTTATTTCTCTTAAATTGCACATTTAAATATGATTAAGATGGCAAAACAAACAAAAACTTATGCTTCACAGGGCTGTCAAGGGAAACAAATCAGTTCATGTAATGAGATAACCTTATGCCCCAAGAACACTGTACATATATGAACTATTTGTTCAATATTTATTTCTTATTACATGCTAAATGCCAGGGGAAATGAAAATAAACAAAAAACAGTTGTCAAGGAGTTTTCATTGTTGGGCGAGATAGTGATTTAGATGTAGTAAGAGAAGTGAAGCATAACTAATGTGGTGGTTAAAGGTGTGGATTTTCAAGTAGGTGCACCATTCACTGCTGGTTGTGTGACCTTGGGCACAATGGTCTAATCTGTAAAGTGGGCATGAGAGAATAATTTCATAGGGTTGTTTTGAGGATTTGTTTTTATTTATTTAAGAATTATTTACTTATTTGTGAGACACACACACACACACAGAGAGAGAGAGAGAGACAGAGACACAGGCAGAGGGAGAAGCAGGCTTCATGCAGGGACCCTGGGGTCATGCCCTGGGCTGAAGGCGGCGCTAAACCGATGAGCCACCCAGGTTGCCCTGTTTTGAGGATTTAACAAAATAATCCATGGAAGGTATTTAACACAGGTTGGTTACATAGTACACATTAAAAAATACTGCTGCCATTACTATGAAGTAGGAAGATACTAGAATGTGAATAGCCTTGTGTGTCCTACTGTTGAGTTCTTGGTAGTATAGTGTCCTATAATTTATTAAAGAGGGATTACTTTGTATTATCTCACAGTTTATCTGCATATTTGCATGTTTGTACATATTTGCATATTTGTTGTCTAGGAACTTTAATCAGTAAAGTACTAAACATATGTTTTAGCTGTTAGCTTTCTCATCTATAGAATAAGAAGAAAAACTGCTCTGAGAGTTTAAATGACTGGCTTAAGGTTACACAGTAAGTGGAAGAGTCTGGGTTATAGCTCCCAAATTCTGATTTCTCAACCATGTTTGTATCTTTTTAAGTTGTGAAATAAACCATATATATAAAGGTGCATATAACATACATTTTTAAGGAATGGAACAAATTGAAGATCTGTGTTTTTCCTACTCCGCTTAAAAAAAAAATTTGTAGTATCTTTAAAGCTTCTTGTGATTCCCTGTGCGATTGAATGTCTCTGCTCTCTTCCTCATAAGTAACAGCTTTCTCAAATTTTGTATGCATCATTCCCTTTCTTGTCTTTATAGTTTTACCAAACAAGTGCATATCCTAAACAATATATTTTTGTATCTTTGCAATTTATATAAATAGAATCATAGTGTAAGTATTCTTCTGTGACTTACTTTGTTTTTATTGATTATTCTTATTTTTTAACTTTATTTTTTTATTTTTTATTTTTAATTATTTTTTAACTTTAAAAGAGCATTTTTCTTCTAGCATTAAAATAACATGCACATGGTAGAAATTGGAAATTACAAAAAGTAAAAGGAAGCAAATTTATTGTCTAATTCCATTTATCTGGCAGTACTTCTTATTTATATGTAAGTAAAAAATATGTGTGTATATGGACACACACACACATATATATATATCTAGACTACCCCCCCCACACACAGGTAGTTGAGATAGCAAGAAATATAAATACACACACACACACACACACACACACAGGTAGTCTAGATAGCAAGAAGGAAGCAAGTTTGCATTTATGACTGATCAGATTATCCAGATGTGGACCAGTCGTACTTGGATATAGGAATGAGAGGGGTTAATAGCAGCCTTTGTGAGCTTTGAAACAGCACTTAGAGTTTCTATCTTACTGGCAGTTCTTTATTTATTAGATACTAGTTTTTTGTTATATCACCTTAGCACTACATTTCATATTTTAATAAGTCACTTAATTCTTTTG